GCCCCCTTTTAAGCATAAGTTCAATCTTATGTTTAGACATACATGTTGGGAGGTTTGACATAAAAGTCTTTTCACAACCAGATTATGTACTATCTATCTATTTTTTTGTCTCTCTGTCTACATGCTTGATCTCAAAATTTTCAGGGAAGTTGTATACAGTAGATTTGAATTTACAATTCATATTCATCAATTTTGCAGCGGAAGAAATTTACCCATCAGATGCAGGATGGCTGGGGGCTGACGACTGATGGAAAGATCATATTCGGCAGTGATGGAAGCTCAACACTCTATCAGCTTGACCCCGTTACCTGGAGAGGTTTTATTTGCTGTAGCCTGTAGTTATCTCATATTTAATATGCTAGTTAATACAACTCTCTGATTAGCTTTCTTATGGTGCAGTATTACACAAAGTTAATGTCAGGTACAATAATCATGAAATTCCTTTTCTAAATGAACTGGAATATGTAAATGGTGAAGTATGGGCAAATGTCTGGCAGGTAAGCACAATTTTCACTCAAAGATGCTTCGAAATAAGTAGCGGTTTCTCGCACTTCTGCTGAAATACTGGTTTTGCATTCCTTGCAGTAGGTGGTTTAGATAGAAAATGTTATCAAATCTGATTTATGGTATAATCATTCAAGCTGTCATGACCCCCGCTCTGCAGCTTAGGTTAGAAGAATTATACCGGGGGCATGAGTACAAAAGATATCTGTGACGCCCCTGGGTTCACACAAGGCTGCAGTCCAAGGTGAAACCAAGAATATCAAACCTGCCATACACCACACCGTGCAATAACATGTTTCACCATCACAATTACTATCTCTCTAGTAGAGCCTGCCATACACCACACCGTGCAATAACATGTTTCACCATCACAATTACTATCTCTCTAGTAGAGTCAATAACAGGTGTAGGTACAAAAGCAAGTAAAAGATAATACAAGAATCAACTGATGAAATAATAGAGATCAAATTAATATTTCATCATCTAACATACTGAAATACAAGTCAATGTCTGCAATAAATGAACTGGAGTTCTCAACATGTCTCAAATACAAAATGTCTGAATAAGAGAAAATAAGGCACACAACCTTTACAACTTCTAGAAATAAAATCCACAAATGTCTAAACAGAAGTCTACAGTGGAGCTCAAAAGAAAAATATAACTAAAACAGATAGCTGAAGCTAAAGTACATCGCCATCAACCTGCGACTCTCCGGGCTCCTGGCTCGTTACCTGAAAGGGGGAGGGACAACGAGCGTCAAAGCGTTAGCGAGCAACATCACAACCAACCCCAAGGGAAATGGCTCGTTGTATACAGAAAATACAGTTAATACATATATATTTATAAAATCACTGATCCTATTTAGGAAATCACAATACGAGCTTAGATACGTCGAGCGAAATAATCCAAACAAGGAAACCCTCATGTATATACATTGTGACTCAAATTGTAAATCCCTAATAATAAGAGGGTTTTAATACTTCGGAAATTACAACACGAGTATAGGTACGTCGAGCGAAATAATCCAAACAAGGAAACCCTCATGTATATACCTTGTATCTCAAATTGTAAATCTCTAAATACCAAACCCAAAATCTAATACAGGAACAATAATAAAAGAAGACAAACCCATCTCAGAACTTAAATACGGCGTCATGTTACAACCCACATAAGTGTCATGTTCAGCCTAAGCAAGTATAAGTGTCATACTCAAGGTCTAAACTGGTGTCCAACACATGAACTAAAACTAGATGTAGTGGATGTCCAACACATGGACTGAGAAATAAATGTCCAACACATGGACTGAATGTGATAAATGCCCAACACATGGACTACACATAATTATTGTCCAACACATGGACTAAATAAAATATATAAAAAGATGCATATACACTAATCTCACACGTGTCTCGGTGTGTAAACTTAAACTTTGTCCGCACGTCATCTCACAGGTAAAGATACATGTTAACAATAATTTCTAATACCCGTTATTCAAGGCGACTCCTCGTTCATATTAAAGTACGCAATTATAATAGACAAGCATAAACAGTTTCAGTTAAACTGAAACAACCCAAACAGATCCAAACCGAGAAAATTAGAAAATTCCTCGTTAGTCGACTCATGAGTCGACTGGGATCATTGGTCGACTCATTGGTCGACCGGACAGAACAGAGCACAAAAACTGTAAATTTTCTCGTCAGTCGACTCATTAGTCGACTCATTTGTCGACTAAGCAGAAGATCTCCAGTTTTTGCATACGATGATTATCTGCAAGAAAATTTTAACCTAAAGTTCTTCATCATTTCCAGCAACATAAATATGATTATTACACATATGTAACAAACTGAAACGAAAGATATGCATGTAATCACTTACATTAAAACCCTAAACATATTTATACATGTTTAAAAAATGTATTGAAATCAATAAATCACAATGAAACCCATGTTTAAATCTAATTCTAGATCTGGATCTATATTACAAAACGTTGGTGAGCTTTTATTAACCAAAACATTTGATTTCTCGTATCATACGCTATAGAGATATACTTTTATACGCAAAATAATGATTTAGGCTCAATAAATCCGAAATAAAACCAAATAAAACTATACAAACAGTGGGTATAGGGCTGGGCGAGATGTTACTCGCCTTTGGTATGCTAGAACAACTCCTGAATCCGAGAGAGGATGATTCCCTTCGCTGCACCTCGTCAAAACCCGCTGAAATCCTCCGAAAATCCCCCAAAAATCACCAAAAACGAATTAGGGTTTGAGGGGAGAGAGGGGCTAGGGTTTCTCTGGGATTCTGATGGGTTTGGGGTTGGTTTCTGGTAAAAGAAAAAATATATAATATGGTTAAAACCCGAAAGAAAACTCACCCAAACCCGCAACTGAAAAATCTGGAAATCTGCCCGTAAGTCGACTCATAGGTTGACTCATAAGTCGACTCATGAGTCGACTAAGCCGACGTTTTCCAGATTCGTGCATGTTTTGCTAATTTATCAAAACCAATGCACAAAACTCTATAAAAATACACTCATACATATCTGATAACTTGTTATCAAGTATATCTATGACCTCAAGTCATTTACCATAATAGAATTATCTATCACCAATAATTCACATATACTTCTAACAAAAATACGGGGTTCTACAATATCCTGTACATATGCTAAGTCTTCCACTGATACCCAGAGAAATGAACACAAGTACTATATAAATACTCAAAATTTATAAAATTTGTGAAACAAAATACGTATTGTTCAGAATCATGATTGCAGTCTATGTGCAAAGTGAAACTGGAATTACCCCCTTGCTACTGAATAATCTAAAGCTTCAATAGATAAGATCTAACTAGTAGATACTCTTCTGCTGTTACTAAACTCTATGCTAGAATGCCACTGCTACTTTGAATATTTAAGTGGTCAAAAATAAGGGCTACAAGCTTAATCTAAGATCTTAATTGCAGACTGGTCATTTTACTACAATATATTGGCATGAAATCATACATTATGATAAACTATACTGCTTATAAAGAAAACTCTTAAATATTTCACAATGCGACAAATAGTAGAAATTTCTAGGCCTTTGCAGTATTAATTTTTAGGGGAAATTGGATATGAGCTACTACCTCATTTTGCAAACTGGGCTACCAAGAGATAGTGGTCAGGTCTACCCACTCTGATGTGATTCGCAAGATGGTCCTCACAACTAGTCTATCTCTTGGTAGCTTATTGAGAAAAGTGAGTTGCCACCTCATGCCTATTATTTCCTAGTTCTAATTATGAAATAATAATAATAATTTCCAATCTACCACTTTTGACTTCATCTTTCTATGATTTTAAAAGAGTGGTCTAGGCACCCGCTTAGGTGTAAGCAGTAGCTAGGCTGCGTGCTTAATTTTGGAGAGTGCCTAGGCGAACATGAGCCGCTTACATGGACTTACTGCATCGAGATGGGGTTTATTAGCCGCTTCAGCATACCAATGCGTGAAGAGAACATGTCAAGTAAAAATTGATCAGATCATAATTCGATCCAAGTTCATCTCAGATAAATGGTGAGGTGAGGAGAGGATTTTCAATCTTTGAAGAAGAATCCTTCCTCTCTTGGTGCTAAGAAAATACCTATGTGCCACCAGGGCGAATAAGCGCTAGGCACTATGTCCGGTGCCTACAAGGTCCTAGCACTTTCTAAAATATTGCTTATTACAACCTAGTAATATGAGAATCACATAATAACAATAAGGCTACCCAGAGCTTATGCTTACTAACTTGCCGCAGGTTTTTTTCTGGCAAGTATTTTGCAGAAAGACTGGTAATTACTTTAAGGTAAAAAAACTGTGCCCTAGTCAATGACACTATGATGCTCTAGAATTCCAACTCTACCTTAGAACAATGAAATCAATATCTGAAATAAATCTTGTAACTTCAAACCCAGTAATTGTATGAGTACTTAATCATTGAAAATTCGTTCAAACTTCATGAAAGATTCATGCAATAACTTGTCATTTTTATGGGTATTAGTAAAACCAATATTAAATCCTGTGAATCATTAAATATAACTTGGCATAATAATGAAGATTATGTAAACAATTTCCTATGCTGAGATCATCCTCTGATCTTTCTATTTAAATGGTCAATTTTAACATTTAAGGATAACAATTAGTGATAACCACATAACTACTGAGACTATTGATTGGCAAATTAATGCTTCATTATGATCCCTGACGTATGATGTAAATATAACAACTAATAAGGTTAGCTACCAACTATCAAGCATATCTAGGGCTTTACATATATAATATTTATTAATTTCCTGGACCATTGAAACTAAGGATTGAAATTAGGGGACAATGTATTTCATTTCCTCCTGAGAAAATATCAATTCTGCTATATGGGGGTATCGAGAACTCAAATACCCTCAACTTATACTCTACGTGGACTGTTGTATTCCTCATTAACTCAAAATAATACAATCTGAAACTCCCTGTTAAGTGAATCATGGATGTCAAACATACTTGACAAAATTGACTGTGCATTCAAGCCTAAAAGTTTAATAATCATGAAAGTAAACATGCATATACATGTGTGTCTATATATATTGCTACATACACACAGGAAAAAGTTAGAATAAATGTAAGTGGAATGAGGGCTTTTTGCACCAACTTTTTTATCTCTTGATTTTGCTTTGAGATTCATTCTAGTGAGATACACATCAAGACACACATCTCAAAGATAACCTTGATGTGTATCACACATAACACGAATCTCAAAGTAAATCCAATGGATAAAATTATTGGTGGACAGAGCCCTCAGTGCACTGCATTTGTTCTAGTTTTACTCTGCGCGCACGCACGCACACATTTCTACATTTATTCCATCAACATCATGATACATTCACCTTATGTGCAATTATCTAGAATGCTCTTCCTTAGTGAAATTTTAATGTGGGATCTTTGTAATAATGAGATGTATTATTTTTATTGTTAATTGGTATAAATGATGTGATGAATTATTAACATGAGGCAATGGGTTACAGTCAGATTGTATAGCTAGAATTTCACATAATGATGGCGTTGTTCGCAGTTGGATCCTCCTCCATGAATTAAGGTACACTTTTAATTCTAAGCTCCCTTACTGACCATAGACCATTTTTTATTTGTTAAAACATTGGTGATGTTTGTTTGTATGTTGCAGGCAAAGCTTGTTAGGATCTGGACATAGAGTAAGTAACATTCTCTTGTTCTTACATTTGGAATGGCAAGGTATTATTCTTTTGTACACCTTTTCACAAAAATAAGAGCCTATTGTGCTTCATCAATGAAGTTTTTCCCCAGTAACACTGGGGTTGGTATGGAGCATGTCAAACAATTAGAAAGACAATAGGATGGTGTATAATAATAGAAAAGAAAAAAATAAGAAGAAAAAGATCTTGATGATTGATTGTGAAGGGAAGCAATTGAGAGTTAGGGAGCATAAATATTTGCTATGTGGAATTGAATTTATCTTTGAGGCACAATCTAACAAAATGTCAATTGGATCAGCTGATATTTTTCTTCAGACACTTAAAAAAAAGTCAATTGGACTATCCTCTGATTTTGGAATTTTTCTTGGTATCATTTCATTATTTCCTTCTCTTTTTGTATATTTCAAAGTTGGTAATGTGGTAGCAGCAAAGCACGTACTTATCTTTCAGCCATACCTTAGATTGCCTCTTACTTGGTACATGGTTTAGTGGTAATTAACTGACACGTAACCTTGTAATCCAGTTCAATACAGCAAAAGCACTCAGTGGTATTACGTATCTCTATATTAGGCTCATAAAGTAAATGGTCATCTGTTAGTGTGTTGGTAGCATCTTTTCATTTATGCATTCTGCGTAAGTTGTAGCTGGTAAGTGGACTGTACAATGAAAATGATGAAGTCATGCAGAACTGTTACATAATTTCCTGATAATTCTCTTGGTTGGGTAACACCCTCCCAAGATTTTGGACCCAGTCCAATTACTTCACAATTTTCATTTGATTGTTTTCTCAGCTAATTCTTGATATTTGAAAGTACCCAAGCACAAGATCATCTACCAGAAATATCCTTGCTATTACGGATTCAGTCATTCCATCTATAAGCTCTTAATATTATAACTGGCCATTCCATTTATCAGCAATGCCCTTATTACTACATTTTTGGG